CCGAAATGTAATCCTTGAGATAAACGAGGGACTACTGTAATGCATAAAATCATGTTTATGCACATCAAGACCAGGTTATTTTCACATCTAACATCAGGCATGTCATTATACTGGTGTCAGACAGGCAGTGTTGTACATTATTACTGTCCATATTTTACCAGAAAAAACTAAACTAAGCACAGCTTACTCTGGGGACAATAAACAAAACTCTTTTTGACAGTGAACGACTGCGATAAACTGAAAGACTTATAGGACAAACATTATTTATTCATGTAGAAAAAGAGTTGTAACATTTCCCTCAAATGGCAGGTTGTCATCTGCTGTGTGACCCACAGGTCAGAGTGTTACACACATGTCTCTGTGGGACCTGTCTTTGATTTAGGCCATTTAAAGCAACTTTCACAAGCTTCCTTTTCATCATGAACTAGTTCTAAGATTTAAATATTGGTGTTTAAAGTTACTGATGATCTCGCCCTCATCTCAACCACAGGATCTTTTGCACCATCATTGTTCATCTCGAACACCGAGGTCAAACAATCAAATGATTTTGATGTTCCAAGATGCAAAAACTAAAGTAGAGGTGACTGTGGCTTTGCAGCTGCTGCCCCTTAAATATGAAACTAAATGCAAAACTGTGAGTTTCTAGGCATTTGAAAATACAAGAAGCATCTATCACGGGCATTTGACTCGAGTAGAGCAGAGAGGAAAAGAAGCCAACAGATAATCTGTCTGTAATTAAACTGCTAAGGCTACAGTACGTGATGATCAGCACAGAGTCAAGGTTTGAAAGGTTTCTCACCTCCAGTTCCTGGTTCAGTGAGCACTCGGAGTTGTTTGGTTTGAGACTGCTCCGCAGGTCGAGGCTGCTGGGAGGTGGCACGGTGGTCTGGCCTGTGTTTGACCAGCCTGAGAGGCAGTGCTGCACGAGGACAATTACAACATCGATGAGATAACAGGGTAGCTGCAGTCAAATTATCATTTTTGCTGAACAAGGTTCCTTCCTAAGAAGCAGCCAGAGCTTCCTGAATTCTAAGTTGTTTCAGAGATGTTGTTTTGTTTCGTATCTTCTTCGACAAAGGAAACACCTGACTGTCCTTGATAAAATAAATTAGATTATTTGTGACAGCAAAATCAAGGTCAAGGTTTCTTTACTGTCATTCTCATCACATGTGGTACATGTGGTGGAACGAAATTATGTACACAGGGTCCCAGTTACATCCCACAATGAAATGTATAAGAAAAACAGTAATAAGATCTAAGATATGAACTAAGAAATGTGCTAAACTTAGAATACACTAAACACTAATAGTACAGAAACAATACGCTGAACAACAGCAGCACAAACATGCAATAACACACTCTCTGCTCTTCCTACTTGGCATAATAAACAAACAATTATACACTCATTTTTATTGTTATTTTGGATATTAGGTTGACATCAGCCTAAACGGTAAGTTGGTTACTGTTTTTCAGCTTGACTGAGCTTCTGTTGTTTAATAATAATAATAATACATTTTATTTGTATAGCGCTTTTCTAAATACTCAAAGACGCTTTACATGAGTAAAAAATAAAATCAACAATGCATAACGCATAAAAACACAGTAAAACATTTAAAAAGGACAAACTTAAACATTAAAAGCAATTTTAAACAGGTGGGTTTTGAGTTCTTTCTTAAAAGTGGAGATGTCGGAGCAGACATGAAGCTGTTGGGGCAGTGAGTTCCAGAGGGTGGGGGCAGCGATGGAGAAGACTCTGTCTCCCCAGGTTCAGAGCTTGGTCCTACAGGGAAGAGACAGAATGTTGGCATCGGAGGAACGGAGGGAACGAGAAGGAGTGTAGTGATGGAGTATGTGGGTCAGGTATGGAGGAGCCAGATTAAGGAGGGCTTTGAATGTGATGAGGAGGATCTTGAAATGGATGCGCTGAGTGATGGAGAGCCAATGGAGTTTCTGCAGGACAGGAGTGATATGTTCATGGGAGCGGGTGTGGGTGAGAAGGCGGGCAGCAGAGTTTTAAATATATTGCAGTTTGTTGAGAGTTTTGGATGGTGTACCGTACAAAATGCTATCGCAATAGTCGATTCTGGATGTGACAAAGGCATGGATTAGGATTTCATCAGTGGAGAAAGTGAGTGATGGGCGGAGTCGTGCTATGTTTTTGAGATGGAAGAATGCAGTCCGAGTTATCTGTTTGACATGTGATTCGAATGAAAGAGTGGCGTCAAGAAGAATACCAAGATTATGAATGAGCGGTGATGGAGTAAAAGTGATGTTGTCAAAGTTGAGGCAGAAGTTTTGAGTGGAATTGGTAGCACTGTTTGGACCTATGAGGAGTATGTCAGTTTTGTCAGTATTTAATTTGAGAAAATTGTGCTTCATCCAGATTTTGATGTCAGTTAAGCAATGGGTGAGGGTGGAGTGGATGTTGGGGTTTATGGATGTAGTAGAAATGTAAATCTGTATGTCATCAGCATAGAAGTGAAAATGGAGGCCATGACGACAGCTGATATTACCAAGGGGGAGGAAGTAAAGGATGAAAAGGAGAGGACCAAGCACTGAACCTTGGGAAACACCCTGGGATAGAGGGGTTATGGAGGAGGAGCAGCAGTTGATGTGAATAAACTGTTGCTGGTCTGTGAGGTAGGACTGAAACCAGGACAGAGCAGAGCCAGCGATGTTCAGGTTGGACTTGAGACGGGATAAGAGGATGGAATGACTAACGGTGTCAAAAGCTGCAGTGAGGTCCAGAAGGATGAGGATACTGAGCTGGCCAAAATCAGAAGAAAGGAAAAGATCATTGGTAACGTTGAGAAGAGCTGTTTCAGTGCTGTGTTTTGGACAGAAACCGGACTGGAATGGTTCAAACAAGCTATTGGATTTGAGGTGGGTCTGAAGTTGATCAGCTATGACTCGCTCTAAAATTTTAGACAGAAAGGGAAGATTGGATATAGGCTGGAAATTTATGAAGTTTTCAGGATCAAGACCAGGTTTTTTGTATTGGGGTGATGGCTGCCAACTTGAGAGACTGTGGAACAGATCCAGAAATAAGTGGAGTTGATGATTCTTATGATCAGAAAAGAAACAATGGAGAGACAACTTTTGATGAGAGGAGAGGGAACGGAATCCAAAGAGCAGGTGGTAGTTTTGATACCAGACAAAAGTTTAGTCAGCTGAGCAGAGGAGATTGGTGTGACGTGTGAGAGCTGCTGAATGGAGCTGGAGGGAGGTGAATTTGGAGGGGCTGTGTGAGCAGAGACGAGATCAAGGGAACTATAAATGTTATCAATTTTGGTCTGAAAGAAAGACAGAAAACTACTGCATTTGGTGATGTTAATGAATGAGGAAATGTTGTTATTGGGTTTTAAAAGCGTGTTGATAGTTGAGAAAAGTGACTTGGGGTTATTGGAGCCAGAGTTGACGAGATTGGAGTAGTAATTTGACCAGGCAGAGTTTAGTGCATCCTTGTATTTCTGTATATAGTCTGTGTACATTTGGAGATGGACAGTTAGACCAGATTTCTTATACAGTCTCTCAAGTTGACGCTTACGTGATTTAGTTCAGTAAAGTTAGCAGCTGTCTGCTAATATTTATCGTGAAACGTCTTCAAAAAACAAGAAAACACCCAACAGGTGGGCTTAAACTGGGGACCCATTTGTTATAAAAGACAAGATAAAATGGTGGTCAGTTCATGCAGGTATGATGAATTTATGGCATTTCTAACTCACCGATGGTAACCCCAAACTGTCTGAAGGGTCAAAGCTGCTCCGCCGGTGAGCTTTGTATTTGTAAGGTGGTAAGAGGGCGGTGCGAGGAAGGCTCACCCTTTAAAGCAAAACAGTAAAGAAAATCATATTTAGAAGATCTGACATGCGATACATTTTGCTGTTATGTTCTCAAAGAGTTTTATATTTCAGGTTCAATGAAAGGAAAACAAACACTTTCAAATGAGAGCCTTATAGGTTAAATAAAAAACTAACATTGCGTTAAACAAGCTCAGCTATAAAAAGAGCTCACATTTTCAGTTATCTCTAACGCTGAAGAAATAAAAACTGTGATATAATTGTCATTACTTTCATTTTAATTGCATTTTTACTGTAGTTTATTGTTGTCTGTACTTTATATGTTGTCTGTCTAAAACCGGTCTCTCTTGTAAATGAGTCCTCGTGACTCAATGAGACTAACCTGGATAAATAAAGGTTGGATTAATTAATTTAATATTACAATTTTAAGTCCCAGAATACTTGACTTTGTTTGACAGAGACTGAGGAGTGTAAATTCACCATAGTTGACAATGCATAATAGTTGTGGTTAAAAATAATGCAAACTCCATGTAGAAAATCCCCACCTGGGAGTTTGACCTGCAACCTTCGAGCTGCGAGGCAACAATGTAACCCAAATGCGCCACCGTGCAGCTCCATTTTATAATAAAAAAATAATAATTTAATTTTCTGCTGTTGGCAGTCTTGACAAAACAAATTAAAGGTATGAATGCAAGTAAAAAGTGGAACATGTTCAGAAAGTGAATGAGGGCTTCATTCTATTCAAGTCTGTTCTGTGTTTATTTTGAAGCAAAAGGAACTATCTAAATTTTACAACTAGCTCCAGAGGCCAATAAACTGCTCTGAGCTCTAAGTGTTTTCAGAGGGGAAATGATTTGTACCTGATCAGAGCGGGTTCAGCAGCAGAGTGAGGGTGGGAAGATTTGTGCTTTTTGCACACTGGGCAGCACTCCCGAGAGTGAAGTGGGACAGGAAACAGTCTGTTGTTAATCCTGTAAGAGAATGTGCCTGGGCAAAAGGTGAGCGAGCAGAGAAGAGCGTTAGCTCAGCTGTAACAGAGAGGGACAGGAGAACAGACTAATGAAATAACATGATCCCTCTTACACTGATGAGAGTCTGTGTTTGCTTCTTGGTTGTCCTCATCTGTTAGGAGTGGTGCTACTGAACGCCTCTCTTCAAATAATCTAAAAGTAGAATCATTAGGGATTCAAATCAACAGACAGAAACAAGGGTGATTAAAAAATATACAAAAGACTTACTCTGACTGTGCGTCATGGATACACTCATCTTTATTGAGCGATCTAAACACACGTAGGTCGTTAAAGAACTCGTCAGATTGCTCAGCTAACGAGTCTTCGGTGTCCAGAACTCCTTAAAAGAGAAAAGCAGCAACAACCGTGAGTCCTCTGACGATTACCGTATTTTCTGGCCTATAAGTTGCAGTTTTTTCATAATTTGCATGCCCTGCGACTTATACACCGAAGCCACTTATTTATGTTTTTTCCCATATTTATAACCAATTTTTGACTGATATGACTATTTTCATTCATTCTGACATTGAAAATATTGAACACTACCATTTTCAGCCGACAGATGGCACTCGAGTTGTATGGCATGCTGTTGTGTCATGTAATAGGTAAAAGTGGGTATTAATGACACAATCAGCGTGCCATACCCTGCCACCTTTGTCCAGTTCCAGGATCATGCCTGGAGCAATTGTCAAAGCATTTCACTGTGCCGCCCTGGCGAAACGCAGCTAATTTGACCATTAAAGTGCATTTATTACGTAAAAGTTCAACTGAAACACACCTTTGTTTTAATGCCGAGCAAACAAATTATTGTTTTAGGTGCTTATCTTGTTAAATTTAGAATAAATGCGCAGTGTTCCTCCTTCCTGATTTCCTCCCTCTGTGCGCTCCCAGAGCACCAAGGCAGCGAATACTTTTGAAATGCAGCTGATTTTACCATTACAGTGCATTTATTAAGTAAGTTAAACTGAGATTATAATGTCGAGCAAACAAATAATTGTTTTTAGGTGGTTATCTTGTTAAATTTTGACGAAAAGCACAGTGACTCGTCCCTCTGTGCGCTCCCGCGAATCGGGTTTTGAAATGCAGCTGATTTGACCGTCAAAGTGCATTTATTAAGGAAAGTTGAGCCTCCTAATTCGCAGCCTGAAGAAAAGTAGCATTACTCTCAGCTACCTAATGAACCTTTGACATGTGCCTATGTGTCCCGGGTCCTGCTGATGAGTGGTGGTCTGGGTGTGTCCCATTTTTAACGCCTGTTGTTGAACAAACAAATAATTGTTTTTAAGTGTTAATCTTGTTACATTCTCATTAAAAGTCCTCCTGTGCTCGCTCCTGCGGCCGCCATTTGGCAGCCAATCGATTTTTGCCACAACACCGGCCCACGTTTCCGGGTTGTCAGCGGTGATGCATAATATACGACTAATACAGCGAAGCAATGTATTTATATTTTTCCACTTTATTGGACATATTTGGACTGATGCGAATTATACGGCGGTGCGACGCATACGGCGGAAAATACGGTACATTCGGCAGATAGACAAGAGAGGTGTACCTGCTATCCAGTCATATCCCAATAAAGGCTGTAAATGATGACTGAATGAGAATGGTTTGTGTTCCCCATCATCAGATCCAAACGTCACTTGACTTTTGGTCTCCTTCTAGTAAAAGAAAGCCGTCACAAGATCAACATACTAAACAATAACAGTAGCAAGCTCTTTAATTAGCCCTGTCTTCAGAGCAAATGTAAATCTGAACACAACATAATATGAAAAGATCATAAAGCATGCTATTACTGTATGACAGAGCTTACAGCACATAATTAGCCTGAGAGCTGTCACATAAAGCAAATAAAATTCACACTTTCACACTTCAAACTTATAGAAAACCACTTGGGAACATTTCTTCCTTTCAAAGTGGTCACATATATCGCTAAACACCACCCATAAGTAGCCTAGCAGCCAGCTGGCAGGATGTGGAAACATATTAAATCACTTTAAAATTCATTCATCAAAAATACTCAAACCTTGGCTTCATTGCCAATCTGTGTTTTGTTTATATTTTAAAGGCTAACATTTAAAAACTGCTGCTTTTAGAGAAAATGCTTCGTCGAGGTTTTCAAGCAGTTTTTTTTTTTTTTGTCCTGGTAGGTCTCACGTGCCAAGAAATAAAAACAAATATGTAAAACTAAAAATGTACAACGTAGGCAATATAAAAGATGCGTAGTGTTGAGTCAGAACTGTTGAGGTGAAAGACGTTTCACCCAAATTTAGAGTCTTAAGTATTAAAAAAGCATTTTAGTTATACAGTACAGCCGTGGCCAAAAGTTGACACTGGCACAAATGCTGGTTTTCACAAAGTTTGCAGCCTCTAGTTTTTTTTTTAGAACTTTTTGTCAGATGTTTATGTGGTATAATGATGTAGTTTTTAGACCTTTTATTGACAAGTAAATACATCCAGTTTAAGCAAAGTCTTAATATTTACAGTGTTTATCCTTCTTCTGTAAGATGTGCAGTTCACCTCGGCATATCAGCTTCTGCGCAAAATCTAGAGTGATGGCAACCCGTTCTTGTCTAATCAGTGCTCGGAGGTGATCAAAGCTTCTAGGATTTTGTTTGTCCACCCTTTAATTTTCAGGATTGACGACACGTTTTCAATGGGATTGAGATCGGGGGAGATTCCTGCCCATGGACCCAAAATTTCAATGTTTTGTTCACTGAACCACTTGGTTATCACTTCTGACTCGTGACATGGTGCTCCATCGTGCTGGAAAAAACATTGTTCGTCTACAAATTACTCCTGGATTGTTGGGAGAAGTTGCTCTTGGTGGGTGTTTTAATACCATTCTTTGCTCAAGACGGTGTTGTTAGGAGAAATTTTTGAGCGAACCCACTGATGAGAAGCAACCATGAAGTGTCTCAGGATGCTTCACTGTTGGCATGGCACAGGACTCGTGGTAGCGCTCACCTTTTCTTCTCCGGACAATCGGAGATGTTCCAAACATTCTGAAGGAGGTTTCATCAGAGAAAATAACTTCACTCCAGTCCTCTGCCATCCATCCCTTTACTTCCTGTAGAATGTCAGTCTGTTCTTGATATTTTTTTGGAGAGAAGTACCTTCTTTGCTGACCTTGCGTTCAGATGCTGTCACACCTGCCCTCTGCCAATCATGAGCACACTGCACTGGTGGTGACTGGATCTTGTAGCTGCATCTTTAGGAGACGGTCCTGGTCCTTGCTTGACTTTCTTGGGCGGTCTGAAGTCTTCTTCACTGCAACTGAACCACTTTCCTTGAAGTTCTTGATTATTTGATAAATGGTTGATTGGGTGCTATCTTACAAGCAGCAATGTCCTTCCAATTAATACAAATTGGCCTCATCAAAACTGAGGCAGCAAACTTTGTGAAAACCAAAATTTGTGCCATTCTCAAAACTTTTGGCCGCAACTAGGCCTGTCGCAATAAACAATAAATCAATTAATCGCATGATGAATGAAAATTGTCAACCTCATTCTCATTTACCGGCTTTATCGTTTCTTCTCGTCTCTCTCGTTCTACTGAAGACACTGGATGACAAAAGGCTCAACTCCAGCGCTCTTCACTAACCCCTCCTTTTCCCTTTAAAATCTGCTTAAAAACACGATTTTGGATCGTTAAAAGCAGCTAAGCTAACCGGCTGACCTTGAGAATGTATCGCTGTCTTGTCGAGCTCCAAAATTCACGGTTGAAACCTGTGCAGTCGTGCAAAAAGTTGTTTTTCTCTGCAAAAAGAAGCTGAGAACTTGTTTACTGATTTTTATTAAAATCTTTGTGTGGAAAATGTTATGCTAAAGAGCTCAAATCACCAAGCGTCCGCCATGTCAGCCCATATCATGTCAAAGGCCCTCCCTCCCATTTTTCTTAGAGGCATGCTGCTCAACTATCCATCCTTTGGGTCAAACAGTCTTATACTGCCATCAAGTGGTCGAAAAAGGTACTACACACCAAACAAATCGACATTTCTTCTAAAATTTGATAATTATTGTTAAACTTTAAAAAAAATATCGTTTATCGCAATCATTTCGGAGACAATTAATTGCCCAGCAAAATTTGTTATTGTGACAAGACTAGCCACGACCGACCAGTAAAGCCTTTTTAATAGTGTTCATGTATTTTCCTATGCTTCTTTGTTGTTTTGAATAGTGAAATAAAAGGCAACAAGTACATAAATATTGTTAAAAAAAAATGTAAGAATATTACTTTGTGGAAATTACCAGTAAATTAAATTAAAAATGTTTTAAAACAAGAGAGGATTTAAACATACCTGGTTTCTTGTGGGATTAAACTGACATGACTTGGCAGTTAATGGCCTCGTGTCTTGTAGTTCGTTTCCAACTTGTAGATTTCTGTAGCTGTCGTTCAAGGGTTCAGTCTGTGTTGTGTGTTCAGCAGTTACTCCTTTATGTTTGGAGGTCTCAGATGGTGCAGAAACAATGTGCTGGAGGTTTCTGTGTATCTCAAGGGGTTCTAATAATAATAATAAAATTGAAAAAAAAAAATCAGAGAACAGGTTTCCTCACTTAACTGTTCAATGCAATTCACACATCTTAGTAAGATGTTTTAATTAGAAGGATCATTTTGTCTTAGTGATTGGTTATAATGTCTACATTGACCTAGACTGTGCACTAACTTTACTCAGCTACCGTCAAAAACAGCTGAAATCTATTCACCTAAACACAGCTCCAGGGAGACAAACAGTTAGGTGGACCTGGACAAACATGGGTAGTACTACAATACTTTACATAAATGTTTGCTTATTTTCAAATACTTATATTCTAATTTAAAAACTATGTTTAGTACAGCAACATTTTTTATTTGTATTTATGGAAATTTTGACAACATATAGATTAAAAAAAAACTGCATATTCCCTTTTTGCGATCACTGAAAGTATCTTGATTCAGTGGTTGATAGAATTTCCAAAGGTTTTTGTGTAAATCAAAAAAACAAAAAAACATTTACTAATATTTAAATAATACAACAAAATATATTTATTTTACAAGTGTATGCCCCAAATTTTACCCCTTTAGTTTAACCAATCATTTGTTTTCAGTCTACTTCTATAACTACAGTATAACAGGTAAGTAAATCTCCTTAAAAGGTACTAATTACAAAATATGAAATCAAACATAAGTTTTATCTTGAATTATATCAGATGGTGCAGCTTGAAAAGGTTTAATCTAGTAGTTTTCCAGATATACTGATATCCTCTTTTTCTTCTTCTTCTTTCAGCTTTTCCCTCTTCAGGGGTCACCACAGTGAGTCATCCTCCTCCATCTCACTCTGTCCTCTACATCCTCAGTCCAACTACCTCCATGTCCTCTCTAACTGCATCCATATATCTCCTCTTTGTCTTATTCCTGGCAGCTGCATTTCTAACATCCTTCTACCAGTATACCCACTGTCCCTCCTCTGGACATGTCCAAACCATCTCAGTCTGGTCTCTCTAACTTTATCTCCCAGTTGTTCAACCTGTGCAGTACCTCTGATGATCTCATTCTTAATCTTATCCAGCCTTGTCACTCCTAAGGAGAACCTCAACATCTTCATTTCCGCCACTTCCAATTCTTTCTCCTGTCTTTTTGTCAGCGTCACTGTCTCCAGACCATACAACATAGCTGGTCTCACCACTGTCTTGTAAACTTTTCCTTTGACCTTTTCTGACACCCTTTTGTCTCAAATCACTCCTGAAACTTTTCTCCATCCACTCCATCCTGCCTGGACTCTCTCACTTCTTTACCGCACTCCCCATTTTCCTGGACAGTGGACCTCAAGTACTTGAAGTCCTGCACCTTTGTGACCTCTGCTTCTTGTCGTCTCACTGTTCCACCGGCCTCCTTCTCATTCACACACATGTACTCCGTCTTACTACGGCTGACTTTCATTCCTCATCTTTCAAGCGCATACCTCCACCTCTCCAAGTTCTCTTCCACCTGTTCCCTTATTTAGTCTTAGATGTTTGCAGATGACAGATCACAGTCATCTGATCATAGACCATGGAGATTCCTGCCTGACCTCCTGTTAGTCGGTCCATCACCAGAGCAAACAAGAAGGGGCTCATATGCAGTTCTGCACTCAGCCTAAATAAAGCCCTCAGCTGAGGCTGCCAAAACCAGTGGAAGCTGGAGTCACGTGACTGACGAACGTTTGGCATGCCACGTGCTGTTTGCATTTGGACAAGCTTAAAACTCAGAGACATATAAATATAGAAGTAAATCTGCTGCTAAATGTGAATGAAAAGAGAAAGAAGAAATAAGACAGTTGTCAAGAACATATCGCAAATTTGCCTGCAAATACATTTTATGTATTTACATTAACCGTAGATATTTAGTTTATTATATATAACAAATAACCGGCTTTTGTGACTTTGCAATGAGTACTTTTTTCCTACTTTGTGCTTGATTTACTGATTTTTCCTACCGACTTCAGCTTAATCAAATTCAAGAAGCAAACGAGCACTTTTAAAACGAAAACAACCAACTCCTGATCCGTGTTAATTACCAACAAATCTCACGGAGGGTTTAGCGAGGGCTGCCCTGGCAGGACCGCGGTCTCCATTCGTGGTGACCGTCACCTCGGCCTCGCTCCCCCTGCAGCCGCTCCGCTGTTCCAGGTTCTCCCTTTGCTGCTTCAGCTGCGTCAGCAAACGTCGGTTCTGCTCGCGTAAAAACTCAAGTCGATCTGCGGACATTACTTTAAATGATTTGTTAAGCTAATTAAAAGTTGTACTACCAATAAAACACAAATCTGCCCAAAATTTGGGGTTGTTTTGTATTTTAAACAAGACACCGCCCACTTCATAACAACGCCATGACAACAGCGATCTGATTGGCTGCATAAATTTTACCCACAATGCTTTTGTACTTATCGGAAGAATTTCTTAAAGGAGCATACACACATTTAATTTCAGCTGCATGGCAACTTATTGATCAAAAGAGGGCGCTGTGTATTTACTGTGGTATGAAATTATAGCGCAGACAGTGATGAGCGTATGCTTCAAACTCTAAAAACACCAAATAGTTTATTATAATTCTGCTTAGAGCCTTAGTTTAAACAATTATAGTTAAATATCCTGATGCATGCTCAATAATCCAGGTAGAAAAATCCAAAAAAGTTCAATCTGGTCCTCTGGACATTCAAAAAAACAAAACAAAGCAAAAAAATATAGAAACGTTTCGTCTCTCATCCAAGAGACTTCCTCAGTCTGAGGTGCTGTATTCAGCTCAGTCTCTTAAATAGCACCTTCTCAGAGTGGATCAACCAGTTTGCTGCTGACAACCAAAACCAGCTGATCACATGCTCAAGAAGGACCATCAGCCTGTTTTGTGTAGGATTTCTCCTTCTGCCTGGCTCCTGAGTTAGTGGGGATGCTGTTTGCTCTGTGGTACAGAGTCCTGATGACTCCTAACTTGTGCTCCAAAGGGTGATGGGAGGCAAAACAGGCTGGTAAAACAGGTGATGGGAGGCAAAACAGGCTCTAGAGCAATGTGGATATCCTAACTGGGCCTTCCTGAAAGCAGAGAAGAAACCCAAACAGGACTCCAGTCAGCCATCAGGTGAAAAGGAGGAACCCAGACCCAGACCAGTGGTCATTCCGTATGTTGAGGGAGTATCAGAGAAATTGAGACGTTTATTTTCTAAACATAATGTCCCAGTGGCTTTTAAACCCCAAAATACATTACGGCAAAGACTGGTTCATCCCAAAGATCCAGTCCCCCGGCATAAACAGAGTAATGTTGTGTATGCTGTTCAGTGTCAGGAGGGCTGTGATCAGTCTTACATCGGGGAAACTAAACAGCCACTGGCCAAAAGGATGGCCCAGCACAGAAGATCAACATCATCAGGCCAGGACTCTGCGGTCTACACTCATCTCCAGGCCAGTGGTCACTCTTTCAAGGATGAAGATGTTCACATCCTGGACAGAGAGGAACGATGGTTTGAGAGAAAAGTAAAGGAGGCCATCTTTGTGAAAAGAAACCGTCCATCATTAAACAGGGGTGGAGGCCTCCGGGTTCAACTGTCCCCCTCTTACAATGCTGTGATTGCTAGTATCACTCAGCCCTCTGTGAGTAGTAAACAGCCATCAGTGTGCTAATGATCCATTGTTAGGCTGATGGTCCTTCTTGAGCATGTGATCAGCTGGTTTTGGTTGTCAGCAGCAAACTGGTTGATCCACTCTGAGAAGGTGCTATT